GTGGTGGTGGTTGTTGTTTTCTGGGTCCATCTCACACCTGACCTCCTCCCCCGCAGGGCTGTCCGCACCTGGAAATGCTCGGCGTGGGCGGCGGGCACATGTTCTCGGACAACAGCATCACCGACGGGACCCTGGTGGCGTTGGCGCGACACTGCCCTCGACTGCGCGTTGTCAACATGCTTCATTGCGTTGGGTACGCGACATGCACTCTTCCAAGCATCTACCTCTTGTTGGGAGGTCTCAGGCCGCTTGTGTGTGTGTGTGTGTGTGTGTGCGTGCGTGCGTGCGTGCGTTCTCACAGGATCACCAAGAAGGGCATTCTTACTCTTTACCAAGCTGCCAAGGATCTCGAGGTGCGCGCGTTTGATGTGGTTTCACGCGATGTGTGCAGTGAAAGAGACCTCACTGCTGCCAACATGTGTGATCGCATTGGGCGCAGGAGTTTGACTTCTCGGATTCCCTATCTGCTGATGATCGCAACGACCCGTGGCTGGAGATTGAAGCGCTGCACCCCTCGGTGACCTCTTACCGATGGAGTGGTATCGTATTGTTATTATTGTTATTTCTTATTATTTTATAATAATTATCATAATCATCTATTATTATTATTATTCATTATTCATTACATGATGATACCCGCCTGCAGGCAGTTGGGATCGCCCGGATCCGGAAAGCTTGGTCACGGCCGTGGCCAAGACTTGCGGCAGCCGACTGAGAGCGTTCGAGATGGAGTACATAGAATTGCCCTCAGCGCCAACAGTTGAGGTACGTAGCAACGCTGCCGCTTCGCTGGATCTGTTGCTCATCTATGAGCGATCCCCCTCGACACGCACACGCACATCCAATGCAACGCGTCGCTAGGTTCTGTCGACCTGTTTGACAGCGCTCGAGGTGCTCAAGGCCGAAGAGGTCGAGTTAAGTACGCACTTGACCCAGATCTCCCCCTGCCCAACTCTTGTTTATGGGACAAAGCACTCACATCTGTGTCGTGTCGTGTCGTGTCGTGTCGTGTCGTGTCGTGTCGTGTCGTGTCGTGTCGTGTCGTGTCGTGTAGGAACGGGAACGACGCACCTGTTGCCCACGCTCGTGCGTAACAACTGCGCGACTCTGCGCGTGCTTCACCTCGACAGCGTGACCTGGCTGATGGGCGACGGCATGCGCGATCTCGGCACCCTGTGCCCTGTGCTCGAGGAGCTGAAGCTCAGATTCTCCGCGCGGGACATGGAAGCTGCCGCCGAGGCCGACGCTGAAGCCCGCGGCAACGGACGCGTGCGGCTCGACCTCCGCTCCGGCTTGCTGCTCAATTTCTCGCTCGCCCTACCCCGGAGCAGGAGGCAGCGGTCGCGATTGCAGCTCGACGTGCGCCTGTGGTGCCCCCAGCTCACGCGGCTCGAGATCCATCATCGCGCAGCGACTCCCGCGCAAACTCTGCGGCTCCTCAAAGGTACGGCATATCGTGTGTGTGTGTGTGCGTGCGTGCGTGTGTGTGTGTGCGTGCGTGCGTGCGTGCGTGCGTGTGTGTGCGGTATCGCTGCGGTGAACGCCTCTTGATAATGTCGTCACACAGGAGCCAGCAACGTCGCCTGCGTCAAGTTGGCGGATGTCACGCCAGAAGTGCTCGAGGCTCTGGCCGATGCGCAGCGGTTCCCCAATCTCGCTGCCCTTTCCTACACCACTTTTGGTACGCACGCCTCCCCCCCATTGCTGGGTCATCACGCCCCTTTCCTGCGCCATCACGCGCGCACTCACGGGAGGTGGCTGGCCAGATGCGTACGCGGACGAAGACAACGATGACGAAGACGAGGCCAATAAACCGAGCGACTTGGAGGTCCAGTGCCTCGATGCTTTCCTCCGCCGTCGCCCCTATGTCAGGTACCCTCCCTCCACTATTTTTTTATGTGTTATTTTGCGTTACTAATTGCATTATTATTATTGTTATTATTTATTCTTATTCATCATTATGCGTAATATCATTTATATTAATTTTATTATTTTCTATAATTCGATGAAACTAAATAAAAACCCGTGCGTGTTCAGAGTTAAGGGCTACGCGGTGGATTTCGAGCAGGTGCCTCCCACGTACAAGTTCCCTGAGGCACCTCACTACTGGGCGCAGATTCGTAGCGCCTGCCTCGAGTTTCCTGACTTGGACGTACGTCGCGCTTTCCTCCATCAGAGTCGGTTTCTGTGACCACACACACGACACACACGACACACACGACACGCACGACACACACGCGCGCGCACTCACATACACACCACAGGCGCCTGGCCAAGCTCCTACCTGCTGGGATTCGCTCGCTGGTACGATCACACCACCAGCAACCGCTGGCCGGGTTGCTGACCAATTCATCGTCGCCACCACTGCCACTGTCATCATCGTCATCGTCATCGTCACCATCGTCACCACCACCACCACCACCACCACCACCACCACCCATCGTCATCGCATCGTCATCGTCATCGTCATCATCAGATCGGTGCAGCGACCTCAGGCACATGAGGCTTTCAGAGGTGCCGCAATGTACGCCCGACGCGCTGGTGAACCAGTTCGTCAACCTGCAATCGCTCGACGTCTCGAACCTGCGTTCACACTCCATTGCGTGGACCCTTCCCCGGTATGCACCACACAGCAGCTACCACTTCAGCAAACAGCTGATGTGTCGTGTGCGTGTGCGTGTGCGTGTCGTGTGCGTGTCGCGTGTCGCGTGTCGTGTGCGTGTCGTGTCGTGTCGTGTCGTGTATGCGCTATGGTTCGACAGACTTGTGGAGCTGAATGTGCTGGGGATGTACAAAGTCGAGGAGCTCCGGCTCGACTGCCCAATGCTGCGCACACTCGACCTCGGCGGTGCCGAGCTTATAACCGCATCGCTCATGCACTGGCTCGCTCGCCACCAGGTGTTTTACCGCTCGTCCCACACAAACACACATGGCACACACGGCACACATGGCACACACGGCACACACGGCACACACGGCACGACGCACATATTTATCATACGATGCGAACGACCAGGACACGATGCCGTATCTTGAAAACTGCGCGATTTCGGCGACCACTTCGTCCATTGACATCGACGAGCACAGCCCAGGTTCGTGTGCCACTGCGGCTTCGCCCTGACTCGAGCTTATCGACACACGACACACGACACACACGACACACGCACGACACACCGCACACCACTCGCGGGCAGCTGGCGAGCTGAAGGAAACGATTCGGGCGATCCCTGCGTCGTTGGTCGAGTTCT